TATCATATGTCCTCTCTATTGATGCCATGCGTTCCCCCTTCCTTGTTTACCTGACACGGCGTGCCGGGCCCCGCGGCGTTTGAGGGGAAGCTGCATGAAGATGGTCGGCGAGACGGATTGGGGAAATCCTTTGTGTGTTTGCGCCGCTGGGTTACAGATAGGAGTGCATCGGATACATGCGGCCGGGTTCAGTGAGCCGACGTCCCGGTGTGGTATGCCGGTTGGATTTTGGCGGATAGGGTGATCGGGCTGATGTCTTGATGCGCCTTTTGGTATGTATGAAGCAGGTAGACTGCTGGTATTCGCCTCTGTCGACTTCTATAAAGTTGGGCTCTCACGGACAACAAGGACAGAAAGGGAGACGAGGGCCAAGCACAATCACCTTGAACGAGGCTGCAGGTTTTCAGAAGGTAAAATGTCTCGTGAAGTAGCTCGGAGCGATCTATGGGCATGGAAATAGTCAGTTCAACGAGTTCAACGAATTACAATATCCTGTTTGGGACTCTGTGAAAGCCATTCAGCAAATGCCGTCTCATCCTTGATCAGTCCAGATCCCAACCCAACCCTCTGGAACTCCTCTGGTCCTTCTTCCGCTAGCTCCAACAACTTCTGGGTTGGTTGCGGATGCTTCGTTGTTCCCCTTGGGAGAAGAAACAGGAAATACACCTTATTATCATTGTCCGGTTTAATCATAGGTAAACAAAACATTTGCGTCTCATCAGCCGGATCTTCGACGTCGAAGGTAGCATATGCATTGTGGAACAGGTCTAAGTTCTCTCTCTTGGGTCCGTACAAGAGAGCTTTTCTCTTGTCGACATACAAGGAGACGATCACAGGCTTCAAGAAACCCGAGAACTTAATCCACCCATCACATATCGCACCGTGACGGTCGCTGCTAGCGTAGGCCAAGCAGATATCTTTGAAGTCCACTAGGAACACCGGCTTTCGTTGAACGCCGTGCCCGTATTGAATCTTGGAATCCAAGCTGGCCCAGGACCAAGACGGAGCCCTGTACTTTGAGGGGATTTTCGTTTGCCGCGTAAGGGAGTATTTGCTGCCCTGCCTGACAACCTGCCAGCAAAGGTCTTGTATAATGGTAGATTTCCATAATCCGGCATAGTATTTGTCTTGGTTGTTTCTGTGGTTGATGTTGAAATCGGTTGCAAGCCCAGAGAGCCCAGGTAATTTGTCGTCTGCAAAAGTGAAAATTCGTTTCGTGTAGTCCGCCACAATCCTCGGCCAAGGATCCTCGTTTCGTGACATTCTTGATGGGACATAATGTTGATGATAAGGTGTGCCTAGCTCCAGTTCGTAGGGCTCGCCAGGAGGCCGCGACTGTCCACAGGGCCACGACTCGTTGGCTTGCAATTCGCTGCACTCCCAAAATACTTGCTCTTTGCCGAAATAGACGGTACGTTTCGAGAGAAGTCTCTCTTGAAATACCCACCCACGGTTAGCCAGATATCCAAGCATTCCGCTTGGATGGCCTTCATGCTGATTATTGGGCATGACCACTAGAGATTCTTGGGACTCGGTTTGCGATGGTTTGATCCTGATATGGAAGGGCTGGAAATTGAAATGGCTGCGGTCTGCAAATAACCCCCGGTCTTCATCTGCCGCACAGCTTGCAGAAATGGTGCAAACACTGTTTCTGTAGACCTGGGACATCTTGGAAGATTCTCTAACCCAATCTTTCTTGCAGTCCTGCAATATGCAAAGCCTGTCAATCCAGAGATGACTATACCCAAGTCGATGGCAAGCAAAACAGGCATCGTTAATTGTTTTAGGTAGTCGGTCCATGGATTCGCCGCTCTCTGAAGTCAGCTTGACCTTTGTCTCTGCGGTCAATTTGTACGCGGATCGGCTGGCACCCCATCGGTAGCTGAGTGTGACATATTGAGGATTTGAGCCAACAGATTCCAACAACCGTATCTTCCTGTTCGGCCAGTCGATATGCACTAGTCGCGTGGGTGTTTGAGACGATGCTGGATATCTGCGGCAGACACTATGCTTCTCAAAGCACGTACGCAGCCATTCGTGGATCCGTTCAAAGGCAGTTTCGGAGTTGGTGCAAGTTCCAACATTCGAATAAGAGGGCTGGCCTCGACGCACCACGACATCAGGACCTACGTAGGTAGTGTCAGTCTGGTAAAGTCAGGCGGGTATGAGTTCTGGATGGACCTTACGCAGAAGCCTTACACGTATCATTGGACAAACTTTGGGCCGGAATCTGTCGACGAACTGAACCATGTTTGAAGCAAGGCTAATATTGCTACTATTTTCCAAACGCATGATACACAACTTGAATGGCTCTTCATACCGATAGTATCGGTGCCCCGGCTGACGTCGACTCATCCCGAAAGAGCGCCAGAGCACTTGACACAGACGGCAACCAGGTCGCGAGTTGTAGCAGCAATCAATGAGTTGGAATAATGTTTCGTGATGGTTCTTCGCCGACCGTGTCCGGACTAAACCTTTAAGATCCCTCACCGTCCAAGTTTCGAACACGGGATATTGGACGAATGCTTTACAGCAAATACAAAGCCTTATTGGGGCTGTATCGTCGCCAAAGTTGATAAGTTCAAAGCCGCCCTTGTATGTGACTGCTGCCAGTGCTTTCTGTATTTGTTTGCTGCAGTCCACGTCGAGCAACGCATTCGCGGTGCTGCTAGTTTGGAGACGCACATGACAAATTCGATCTCGCTCTCTCAAAGTCGCTGGATTGTCGTCTAAGATATTCGATAACTTTCTGAGACTCTCCAGACTCGATATCCGCAATTGGCTTTTAAGCTGAGCATAGTCATCAGCGAGCAGGGGAAACACGCGTTTGAAGGCGTCCGCGTCAGAGGGAGTCGATCTAAGTGTCATCGGTGACATTTTGGTAGGGCGAATCGAGTTGCCAAAGAAAACATTGAAAAGAGGGTTTGAAAAGGGGAAAGATCATTGAGATTTAGAGGATGTTTGGAGATGTGGAAGGGATTCATGCCTGACGTATGACAACGCAGTTGGGCTCCTCACCGAAGCCAAGCCATGACATCAACGTTGCGGGGCTGAGTTCTCAGTAATTATATCCTAACGCCCAGAAATTACAAGTAGAATATCTGCTCGAATGTAAGAGCTGAATGCAAGAGCTGTCATTGTTCTATTGGAGGATGCAATAATATATCATATGTGATACGAGTGGGGCGGCTGAAAGCTCGTCATAGAGACCGTGATGTAAATCTCACGGAGCTTAGCAACTTTCGAGGAAAACAACACTATTAATCTCGAAACGAAGTATAGAAACGCACATTCAATGTCTTTCAGTCGATCAGGTTGCAGAAGATGATGTCTAGCTCATTTGTGTTGGGCCTCTAGATGCCGTTGTTCTTACACTGCATTAGTGACTCGTACCCCGCTCAGACTTTACTTCATTTGTGGTACGTGAGCCTACTTCATAGTGATTTCGCACTTAAACTTATGCCTAGATGATGGAACAACTTGAGGTGAAGGTCGATTTCGACCCGAAGCTTTCACGTCGAAGACCACTATAGACGACCATAACTACTGGTAAACTCGGAATCCCGTCCGATCTCCCATAGACAAGCCAGTGAGGATAACCTCATCTATAGGGTACCGGCCTTGGCATTATTGTATTGCAGATGAAGATCTCGAGTGTCTTGCAAAGAGTCTCAGTACAGCATGAGTACCAAAGTGATCTGAAGAGCATGTCGGAGCGTGGAAGGGAATTTGTGCCTTAGCTCCCCAACTCACGGCTAGGCTCCTCACCAGAGCCAAGCTGTCATCCGGACAGTCCCCACTGGAACTCAAGTTCAACCTCAATCTCACCGAGTGGTTGCTCATCCTTCTCCATAACATCGTAGTCACAGTTTGACTTAGCAGCAAACTGCCCGTCACTGCCTTTCCATACCTTCAGTACCTCGGTCTCGCACTCGTCAACGAGGTCACGCAGCCACAGCACCGCAAAGGTTCAGGGAACGTTCAAGGTGGTGCTGTTATGACCTAGCAATGTGTGATTACGGTGGATCGAAAACGTTACATCTATCCTAGGTAAATACGTAGATTAAATGCCGAAGAGCCGTCCTAAGCTGATGCTACCTACTGGCTGATGAGCATGTTCTATATACCTGGTTCATCTCTTCAGCCTGTTCGTAAAGCCTGCTCAACTTGCTCACTTTACTAACCTTACAAACCTTGCACACTTTGCTCACTAAGGTGATCCGATGGTAACGCAGGTTACGTGGCTCGTTCCGAGTCGTGTCCCTTCCGACAGTGCCGGCCTGTCCAGGGGATCAGAAGTCCAGTCCTGGTTCTATTCCTGTCACACGCGAAATGGGGTCGCCTACACGGCGAGTTAGCATCAGACTTCTAAAACACGTCTAAGCAGCTGACACAAAATGTTACCGTGTTCTGCTCGCGTTTCAGAAGAGACCCTACAGCTATGGTACAGCATGACTCGATACAGTCATCTCATGCTCGTTTGACAGCTGCACGTCGCTGCCAAGTGTGGTTCGGGCGGAAATGGTAGCTTTGTAGTTACCAAAGTTTACATGCTATCCTGAAGCAGTACGTATGCTATAGGTTCGCGCTGTCCGGCATGGGTACGAGCTGATTCTATAGTTGAGTAATTCTTCAATAGGGATGCTTCCGGGATGACCGATACAGTCGTTTCGAACAGCTAGAAATTCTATGCCGCCCAAGGGACTGACTAGTGTTAAACTTTAGAATCCCTCCGGACGTACGTATTCATCGTATTCATTCTGAACGGTCAAATTAGTACAAATAAGACGGCATCGAACACTCAGAACACCAGACCTTTTGCTGAATACCATCCGCACACATCAACCTAGCATCGTTTCCCAAAACTCACTAGCATTATCACCTCATTGTAAGTGGATCTTCGGGTCGTGATTATAGCCAGATCCTTAGACTAACCGCCGCGCCAGGGCCCTAAGAAGTTCTCAAGATACAAGCAACTCTACAGAAACATCATCATCAACATGCAGTTCTCCAAGATCACCATTCTTCTCACCGCTGCCGTCATGTACGCCGCCGGCGTCAGCGCGTCTTGCCAACAGATCAAGTGCGACAAGACTTGCGGCTCAGGTGGTGCTAAGAAGAACTTCTGCGGTTCCATCCAATGCAACGATCTCAACGTCGGCCGAATCACGTGCTGCGATGATGTGCAGTGCACCCAGTAGAGGACTTTCGGACGGATAGAGGCTTATGAAGACTGCGAGAAAGACCACTGGCAACTGGCTTGCTTTTTAAATATTGTGCGAGCTCTGCCTAGATACCTTTTGCACTTATCAGACCTCTTAGAAGAGACCATAGCGAATGCATTATTATTATGAATCATTTAAGACGTAAACTTTTTGTCCAGAAAGATAAAGACTCATTCAACGACGAGCAACTCTCATGTTGACCTTTGCATGCTATTCAATAAGTTTCAATAGCTCAACCTTTCGCGTCCTGATCACAGATCCTGCATGGTATCATCATAATGCCGCCGTTCAACGTCCCCGTGCCCTTCAATCTCGGTGCCATCTCAACAGCACAACAGACCCCAGCTGAAAGAGTTACTTTTCCACCAATACATCCCTTGATTACAGTATTCATAATTACAAGTCACGAAAGTCCGGAGGTATGTACAATAGCGCAGAACTTTTCATAGCTTAGTGGTTCCTGGGTTGAGGAACGAGTCCGACGGCGACCATTGATTGCGGCCCCATGCGGTCGTACCGGCTCAGTCTCGACGTTAGGAGGTCGACCTCGCGACGGTGATAGTCAAACATTCGTCGTTCGAGCTCGATGAGTTCGTACAAGGGGCCAGCGGTGCTGCGCTCTCGTGCGCTGACAAGCTTCTCCACCTTGGCGTGCTCTTCTTCCAGGACGTCGAGCGGCCACAGAGACTGGCTCTCCGCAAGGCCTCGGGAGGGGAAAAAGTCGTCCAGAAGGAGCAGCATTTGAATCAGCCGACCGTTTAGACTGCCGGGGTTGCGATGTGTGACGGCGTTTTGCAGTCCCATTCGGAGAGTCTGTTTCCCACGTCAGTCTGTGAAGCATGCCCGGCGCTCTTCATCAACTCACCTCCCAAGTTTGAGTTTCGGGCTGTATCAAGGCGCCACCTCTGCGAAGCCAGAAAAGCAACCTTTGTTGCTCGAGTGTCCATGGTCCAGTAATTAGATCGTCGGGTATTGTTGTTTTTGGGTGTACATCAACGTAGAAGTCAAGAGTCGGTTTGGCGCCACTAAGACCATACAGGGCCCAGTCATATTCGAAGCAATCTCTCGAGTCGAAATGACCGAAGCCACCGCTCCGGTCGTGAGGTGAGCTTATCGTAGTGTTTTGGTCTGATTCTTCATCCTTAGGACCAACATGGGTATGTGAGTACCACCTGTCGCGGGCGAAGCGCCAAGCCCAGACCTGCCGGGCCTCAAATATTAAATCCACATTGATCCATGAGCTGGCTAGCACGGAAGACTGATTGATAGTCAGCGCGGAAGTAATAAGCTGCTAAGAGGTGAAGTACGTGCCTGGAATTCTGGGTCCCCTGGAAAGAGTTCGGGAAACTTCTCATATCTCCTGAACGACCTCGACTCATCCGTCGCGCCGCGTTTCAAGACAGTCTTGATTGTATGCCTGTCGACCCCGAACCAGCAGTCCCAGGTAGAATGAAAGGCACTGATGATGACGTTGATGAGAGTTCCCCGACCAGAAAGTAGGGCGCCAATTCTGCTATTACACCTGAGCAAGTTGAGGTTTTCACTGAAGAGTAGTATGCGCTCGAGGATCTCCAGGGGCATGTGCTCCACCGGGGTTGCGCGCTTGGTATCCCGGCGTGCCGCAAGACGGGATCTCCTTTTCTGAGCCGCTTGGAGGGTTGACGGGGACGAGGCGGCTTTGCGTTTGCCTCTGACTCTGATGGGAGTCAACTTCATCATACAAAGACGCCGGTTCCACTTTCTTCTTTTTCCGCAAGTGCCCTGAGACACTGTCAGTTTTCCGACTTCATTCTAGAAAATTGAAGAACAATATGAGGCTTGGAGATGTGCCGAACTTACAAGCCGGGCGGGTGGAGGAGGGGTATCGAGGATGGTTCAAGAGATGGCCGACGCTGAGGTAAGGATGGTGTAAGTGAAAAAACCTTAAGCCGCCGATATTAAACCTCGAATACCCCAAACCAAATCGGCTATCAAAAACCTGGCGAATGAGAACAAAATGTCGAAAAGCAAGAGTCGCTCGTAAATCAGTATGCCGCCCCAAGATGCTAATACCCTGACCTAAGGAAAACCCTTAACTGGCTCCGACAGGAGAAATACCTTGTGAGAGAGGGTCTTTGAGATTTCCATGTTGTGGGTTAGACAGTGTGAGCACAGTGACCAATGATGTCAAGGACGGTGTGTAATCACCTGGTCCGTGCATGCGGACCCGACTCTAACTAACTCTTTCCCGTTGCGCGGAAAAACGGCCGAAAAAAAGTGTTGGCAGCAGGAAAGCTCGTGGCATCAATTGCTGGTTTGCGATATATCTTCAAACGACCGCCAGCAAGTGGCCTCGTGCATCTTCAGCTGAGCCGCTGTGTGTGCGACCTGTCGGCTATTCGTGATGCCTCCGCCATTACGCACCCCGGTGCCCTCGACGAGCCTACTTCGATTCCTGCGATCGCAAACGGAGACGTCGTCAGTGTTCGGCCCGGGCCGGTGTGCTGCTCTTCGACCTGGTCAGGCTCGACCTGCGGCTCATAAACAACAGTGTCTCGCAAGGAGGACTCCGAGGACGGGTGTGAGATCGATTACCACGACCTGCAAGGGACCCGAGTTGCTTCGAACCTCGCCCCGCAGACCCGAGCTCGTCACACTGCGGGCAACTCGCAAGCGCAGTGGCGCAACGATTGTCTCCTTCAGCACGACATGCATGAGGCGCGATGCCTGCGGTGACGAATCTTCGACCCCGCGCCGGACATGGAAGGAGAGGCTTTGGGGTATGAAAGGAAGGGGAGGGGCCAAACCGCCACAACCCAATGACCTCCCTGCTCACGATGACGGCGAGGCTGGCTCGATGTTCAACAATCGCCGAATCCTAGCCGCAAAAGCTGCGCTGGAACCGAGGCTGCGATGCACCGAGGTGGACGAGACTGGCGAGGTTATTCTGGTGGATGGAGAGTTCAAGAAGACGGAGCTTATCGCAAAGGTTCGACTTGGCTGCGCACATTCCTTGGAGTTCTCGATATGCTGACGAGGGTTGCTACAGTATGGCCTTCTGCCCCGTGATCTGCGAAAGATCGACTCTTCCAATCTGCCTCACATTCTAGTCCGCCAATCGGCGATTCTCCTCAACCTCTTGCACTTGAAAGTGCTCATCAAGAAGGACCGCGTGCTGCTCTTCGATGTATACGGCTCCAAGACCTCGTACCCGCAGTCGGCCTTCATGTACGATCTGCAAGGTAAACTGAAGCAAAAGCAGGCGCACGGCGGCGTCAACGGCCTGCCTTACGAGTTCCGCGCTCTCGAAGCCGTCTTGACATCCGTCACCTCGGAGCTGGAAGCCGACTTTGAATCGGTCAGAGACCCCGTCATCCGTGTCCTCAGCGAGCTTGAGGACGACATCGACCGGCACAAGCTGCGTATCCTCCTGATTCTCTCGAAGCGGGTGAGCACCTTTGAGCAGAAGGCTAAGCTCGTGAGGGACGCCATCGAGGAGCTGCTGGAGGCTGACGACGATCTCGCGGCCATGTACCTGACCGAGAAGGCACACGATCTGTACCGCGGCGTGGACGACCACACGGAAGTCGAGTTGCTCTTGGAGTCGTACAACAAGCTTTGCGACGAAATCGTTCAGGAGGCCCAGAACTTGGTTTCCAGCATCCGCAACACCGAGGAGATGTATGTGAACCAAAATCCCTTTGACCCAGACGCCACATTAGCTAACTCTCCGCCCAGTATCCGCGCCATCCTGGACGCAAACCGCAATTCCCTCATGTTGCTCGATCTCAAGTTCTCCGTAGGCACCCTCGGCCTCGCCATGGGCACCTTCCTCGCGGGCCTCTACGGCATGAACCTCGAAAACTTCATCGAGGAGACGAACTGGGGCTTCGCGGGCGTCACCGCCATTTCCTGCGGCTTCTCCCTCCTCGTCTGCTGGTACGGCCTCGTCAAGCTCCGCAAGGTCCAGCGCGTCAAGATGATGTTTGACGAACGCGGGCCCCTGACCACCCGCAACGCCGGCGCCAGCGGTCCAGCCAGCCGCGGCGGAAGCCAGCACTGGTTCCAGGACGACGGCGCCGTTGGCCTCCTCGAGGCCCGGAATCGCGAAAAGTTCAGACGGGTGACGAACCAGAAGGCAGCCGCTGCCAGCTCCAAAACGGCCGCCAAGAAGTCGTGGTTCCAGTAAACGGGTGGGGGCGATATCGCAGCTTTGCTGTTCCGTGCTGAAAAGCCAAGCGCCCCTTGTACTCGAGCCACCGAAGGATTCGCGTGATTCGGGATCGGCGCAAGACAACCTTTCGACGGAGTGGGCCACGGCGTTCCGGAAGAGGGAGAGGCAAAACAGCCGCTGCTTTGAGGGAAGAGAGAAGGAGCCGCCGACGACAAGTGCTGATGAACATCCCCAACGCTCCCTTCTCCCTCCCCTCCCGCCTCGTTTCTTGTAAATCAGTGTACATCATTATTGTATCGTACCGTACATACACTCCCCAGGGGGCCCATCATCTTCTCATCTCATTGTCAGGAGTTTACATGCACATGCCTGTATGATACAGACTTTTCAACCACTTCAAGTTATACCCCCTCCAAATAGAACGAAAAGATGGAATTAGTCGGCTATAGAGTCTCATTTGACCTTTCTCAACAGTGCCTTGACACCAGTTTTATTTATTGGTCCGATCTGATTGGATGCTTTCAAGCGCCGAACCAACCAACTACTTACTTCGCGCGTCGAGGGGTTGCAGGATCTCTCAGATGCGAGATGGGCACACAACAACCTTCCACTACACGCCGTGGCGGCTGCGACTACTCGATCCGGCTAAATTCTGAAGCTTAAACCTTTTCTAGTTGCATCTTTTGTCCTCTCTGGGGTGAACTACCTTCTTTGACTGATGGTAAGTTGATAGTCAGGCTGAGGTTCCGAAAACGTCACAATCGGTGTTCGGCTTTGTGCTGCGCAGAGACAACAAGGAAGGGAAACGCTCTTCCGGCCCCCCTGCCCTTGTTTCTTTTGTTTCAAACAACGAACCATTTTTCTGACGAAAGGGCTCTTCTTTTCTTTCTCGCTTGTTGACCCCGCGGTTCGTCCGCGTTTTATTCGGAATGGCGAGTCTTCTTTTTTTTTCCTCTGTTCACTTTGAGACATCTTCTTGAAGGCTTTCAAGACTAGCTTCTGCTATTTTCAGACCACTTGGGGCTTCGGGAAGACAGCCAGCCAGCCAGGTCACCAGTGTCTCGCCGAAGACGTTGGGAGGAGAAACGAAAACGAGGCGATGGGCGCACTGGCACATGAGATCATTGGCCGCATAGCATGGCGCGCGTTGATCGTGGGGTTGATTGCAAAGGCAGGCCAGAGCTTCTTGAGGTAAGCGCGGCCGTTTCGGCCGACGGAGATGGCTCCATGGTTTCCTACTGGCAGAGGAGAAGGTAGCGAAAGAGAGGTTTTGGTGTGCCTTGCTTTTCGAATTGGTCCAAACATCTTCGACCCCTTGCCCTGGCCGCTCAAGACGTGGTGTTTCTACTGCTGCTGCTGCACCTGACTGACTCGCTGCGCCGGCGGTTGGCGATGATGCCATTCGATTGGCTTGAGCTTGCCGGCAGCTGGAAAGTGGCGGTCTGTTGCATCACTTCTGGTGGCGTTGTAGGTGTGCATTTCTTCTCAGGCGTTGATGCCATTCAGGGTGAGCTGGAAAGACAGGCCCTTGCATTGTTGCCCTGTCATTTGCGTCGATGGAGTTGAGATCCGAGAGCTTTTGTTTTGTTCCCTATTCTATGTAGTTTACTCTATCGTGAGATCCGAGAGCATGGCTTTGCAAGGCGTGACAAACCTCAACTGAATTGGTCATCGTTTACTTAAGCATACTCATTAGCAAAGCTTCTCCAGAAAAGCAACTAAGCGACAGAAGAGGATGCCGAGTATCGCCGTTGGTCTGGGTCAATGTCACGAGGTTAGATCGCGATGGACACCTCAATGAGGGTTCGCGGACAGGGCGAGAAAGAGGGAAATGCCAACCGAGCATCTTTCGTCTGTACTTCATTCCAGGTTCGCCCGTTGAGGGGATAGCCCGGCCGCCGGGCCAAAGTCAAACATTGGCCAGACCACTCGGGTGAGCGTTTCTCAAGGCACCGTGCCGCTTTCTTGCTCCAGCTTGCAGGATGGCCACGAGGTGCTCGTGTCGTCATGGAATCCGAGAGCGAAACGTCCAAACCATGATGCCCATTCACAATCGCTTGCATACCTAGAGATCAACCGATTTGGCAAGTACACTGCCAGGTCTTGTTGAGTCTTGGGATTCATGTCCAGTCCACTGCCGCTGCTGCCGCTGCCGCTGCAAACCATCGTTCAAGTCGTACGAGCACGAGGGCTCGGGAGCTCGGAAATAGAGCTTGATCTCTTCACTCTGATTGCATATTTTGCTGAAGGTTGAGCCGTAAGTTCCAAGCACACCCGAAGGATTCAGCGGGGTTTGGCAGAAACACCAAAGCTCCCTGCACCACAACTCCGTGGCTCCTACGTCGTCAGCGTCTGGTCCGGGCTTCATAGCAACAGAGCTCCGCAGCCCAGCACACTAGAGTTCCGGTTGGTCCGCCAGTGAGGCTATCGGGTTCTAAGACCTACTAACGTAGATCATCAGCCAACTTTTATTTCGTTGCTCCAACTCAAAATCGAAAGGGCTGGAATGATTGTTGACACAAAGTCGATAGCTGCAATGCCTGAGGCCCCAGGGGGACGGCGCCCAGCTGCTCAAACTGCTTCCAACGGATACGGTTGCCATGATTGTACGCACGGCCTAGGGCTGAATTCATTGCGTCCTATGGCGTTCTCCGTGGGAGCCCGAGCGTGAACACAACAAGATGGAGTCTGGTTCAATCCAGTGTCTAGACCACTGTTGCTGGTGGTCCACAGACGGGACCCGGAGTTGACAGCGGAGACACGTCGGCCGGCGTGGGGCCGGACGGGAAGGTGCCCCACTAGTGCTATAGAGGGCGTAAGATGGTTCCCGATGTGAGCATGCAGAACATGGCAAACAGAGAAAAGCGTTGACCTAGACAGGCTCCATAGAGTTGGGGGGAAGAATAAATGAGTTGAGTTGGTTTGCGGGGTTCGGGGATCTATTATCTTGAGTCAAGATGGTGTGCCGCACGACGAATGGGTGAAGAAGCCCAGAGTCATGACCTCAATAAGAGTGTTTGTAAATGGCTGAAGAGCAACGTGGGAGCTTGAGCCATCGGCCGGTCTTATTATCGATCCTATAGGTCTCACGGACATTTTCAAAGCTTAAGTGGCGAGCAGTTGATAGCTGTAGGTTTTGAATGTAGCATACAAGTAGCTTTTGGAGACTGAGGGGCCAGGACTTGACGTGCAACACGTTGAATATCGAGGTTCCTGAGGGGAATGGCATTGTCGCCGCGCAGCTGTGAATCCGTACAGAATTCGATTGCTTCCCGGCGTCGTATACACAGGTGGTCTGTAAGCCAACGTTGGCCACGACGATGGCCAATTACCGCAAATATTGACGGCGTATGCGGACATCCGTGAGAGATGAGAAACAGAAGGGGTAGGAGATTGAGGATGAGGCTTAGCAATTCGCATATAGCTAGACCCCAGTCGCGCGGGACTGGGATGGGACTTTCTTGGGGAAGTGGGCTGATGTTTACGTACTATTGTTATCCGTATTGTGCTTTCAGTCGGAGCCCTTCGTCGGTTGTAAGGGAGCTAGCATGGCAGGAGAGGCTGCCATTGCTTCTGTTTGAGGAGAGACCGGACGTTAGTAACCGCAGAAATGCGGGAAACATCTGGCGCTGAGGCTGGTGGCCCGGTCGCGGATTGTCCCCGTCCACCCGTGCGGGAAGAGACGTGGGCCTGGGATCAGGTCTGGAATCCTGGACCGATATGCTGTCAGCAACCGCAAAGCAAGACAATAACGTCGAGGAGTCTGGGGCGGGGAACAGGGTCAGGGAAAGATGGGCGGTGCAAGTGACCCGAGATGCAAACGAACCAAGGCATCCGTAATCAGCATCGAGATTTGGGTGCTTCAGAAACCTGGGTGCTGGAGACAGCAGACGTCGTGTTTGCTTCACCGCCGGACGTCTGTGTGTCCGGGGCAGGGGACTTTGGATGGAGCCTTGAAAATGGGGGATGTTGATGGGGATTCGGGCATGAGATGGACGGGGCAAGGGCAGCTGGAATCGGACTGGGCCATCGTGTTATCGGCAGCCTCCCGCGATAGGCAGTGTTGGTGGAAAGGCAGTGTAAATTGGCCCACCGGCGGCGGCGCTTAATTCAGGTCGACATGCAATAGGTGGTGGTGGTGGTGGTGGTAGTGGTGGTGTTCCGTTTGTGTTTGTGCCGCCGTCAGGTACTAAGTCAGGAATAGGTGGTGGACATGGAGGTGCGGAAGAAAAGTCTAGATACAAAGCAGATTAGAAAGAGAAGGACAGGCAAGGCAAGCATGAGATGCAAATCTACCTTTTGCATGTTTGACGGCAGCTTCGTTTCTGCATGTCGTTTGGGTGATTTGGTCAAGCAAGGAAAGCGCTGCGGTGACATAACACAAAGCAGAGCGTGTCCATTGATTGTATCTGCATGCACGGCGCATTGCAACTGCAATGTACCTCAGACGGACTGGACCACCTCGCTGCAATCTTTCTTAGGTGCTTGGGTGCCTCAAGCTTACATCAGGTTGGAAGAGAGTGGCCAGCACCTCAGGTAACTGTGAAGTGTCTCTTGGTATGTTCTTTCCACATATCCATCAGATCCATACCTCAGGTAGGTAAGGTAGGTACGAGTAGTGTCCCTCAGCTAAAGGGCAATCGTCCACTTCCACCCAAGTCTCCTCCTGCCTTACCAGGTACGAGAGCGGTACGTACCTTCCCTTACCTGTGACGGCGCCGGTCTGGTCCTCCCTGGGTACCTAGATATGTAAGACGAGACGACCTTGTATCTCTCGTATGGGGCCACCGGCCAAAGGGTACCTAGACTCAGTCTCACGTCGCGTATCTCGCGGCGCAACGCCTTCACGCATTGGCCGGTGCCGCCACTTGAGCCCGCCTGGCCGGCTATGCAGGAAATGGAAATCAGGTCATCAGATGTGGCGCCAGCGGCAGGAAACACCAATCCCAAAAGTTCTTCGGAGGAGTTGCCCATCTTTGTCATTTCTCAGACGGTGCCTTAGCACCTTGGTTAAGGCAGGGAAGGTGGGAAACCACCAAGCAAGAGAGATCACGCTTCACTCTCACTCACCTCTGCTTGCTGCTCTACTCTGTACTCTATCCTGCTCTGCTCTGCTCTGTCCTGCCCTTCAAACCACACCCAAACACATGTGCTTTCTTTTTTGCCCTGCACAGCGTTGCTGTCGCCCTCCACCATCTTTCATCGCAGCCCAGCACGCCAGGAAGGAGGTTGCCATCGGTGGTGTCCTTGTGTCCTTGTCCTCCCGTCACCCTTCTCCACCATCATCGGCGTTTTGGTCAGTTCTGACTTAGCTGTCTGAGCCCGCACCGGTTTGCTGTCCCCATCCACTTGGGATCTTCAGCAAGGGCCCAACGCCAACGGCCAACGACGAACCCCAGTGCCCCTACGGATACGGTACGCAGTAGACCACCAACCAAGGATTTCTTTCCTCTTCAACATCAGCCGACTGCGAATAACAATCAAGTCCAAATCACACAGTCCCACCTGCACCCGGCGCTTCCTGGGAACTCGACAGCAACAAGAAGCAAAATTGCTGCACAATAAGCAAAGAAAACGAAGCCCGCAATACCCACTTCGTCGTTGACCCCAGTTTCGATCGAGGAGGTTGCTTCCACACTTGTCCCGCCGTTCTCGAACTTACCTATTTCCTCTCTCCCTCCCGCCCTCCGTCCATCATTCATCCGCTTGCTGGTGGCCATCTACACACGCGCACACACTCTTCGCCTCCCAACCCTTTCTCGCCCTTTCAGTCGGGACGTTGGACGTGTTTCTCACTTTCTTTGTGTGTTTTTCACAACCTTCATCGACCATCGTTGTCGCCCCTCTTCAACCCGGCATTCAGATGATACCCGGCTGCTACTCAATCGCTACTTGAACCCCCGCCCTGGTCTAGCCTGTCGCCCCCTCGTCATTCTCAAGGGTCCCCAAGAACCGCGCCCTCGCCCTGCCGTCAACCGCCCTTTGACTCGACCCTCTTCCGACCGCGCTGCAAGTCGCACACTCGCACTCTACTCCTCCTCTCAGCCCCTCCTCCTCATCTTTCGCCAGAAACCTTGCATCATTCCATCCGTCAGACACGCCCGCGGTCCAGGCCGCATCCCAATTCGCTCTCCTTCTCCTACTCCAACTCGCACACCCCAAAAATCCAAAAAGTTCACTCGCAGGTCACCCGTCGTCCTCCCGCCCTGCACTTGCACCTGCTGCACCTGCACCCGACCCGACCTTCACACCACAAGACAAGACAAGCCAGCCTTGAGGGTGCTTCCCTTCCCGCCTTGGGCCCTCCTTGCCTGCCCGCCTTTGTCCGCCATCGCGCAGAAACCTTGGCTGACCTCTCGTCCTATCATTGCCGCTGTCCCCTCGTGGGTTCATCCTTTCTCCGGCTCCCCCTCGATCCGTTCGATGTCAAGTCACTACTTGCAACTGCCGTTTCAAAACCACTGCGCATTAATCGACAATTAGTCGTGTGCCCTCGTCATTCAACTGCTTGACCGGCCGGCGTGGCCCGGAGAGCTGCGAACCACACCGAGTCCCGAACCACGATGCCGCTGCTTGCGCTGCCCTGACTTGACCATTTTACTTCTTCAGCCCCTCGCAACCCGCCATGGGCTCGCTCACCGGCCAGACGAGCTCGACTCCCGACATGGCCCCTAGCCCGGCTGCCCTGCCGTCCCCCGAGGACGATGAGGCAGACTATCTTGACCAAGTCCTGCGCCTGTCCACCCAAACCACCGAGGCCGCCATCGACGAAGAACTGGTCGCGAAGGCCACGGCACTCGGTATATGTACTTCAGGGCTTACGCCAGAAAATACCGATGCAGGCCCCGAGTCGCGAGCTTCAACAGTTGCGACCCAGCATGTGCGGACCTTTTCCACCGCCTCGCGCGATTCCGCGAGCACCACCTTGACCTCCCATCCCTCTCTCAACACGGCTCCGTTCGCCGCTGCCACGGCCGACGTGCCACCAAACTCGCTGGCAAGGAAGAGATCCAAGAGCCTTACTTTCTCGCATTACGACAAGTACCTGTCACAATTGGACCCTAACATCCACCAACCCAAGATCCAGAAGGCGCCGCCTCCACCAGTTCTTAACCCATCTACGCACAGCCTATTCAGCGTGTCCACCAGAAGGAGCTACTTCAGTATAAAGGAGGGCATTAGAAAGATTCGATGGAAGAGGCGGTCTGCCCTCATGGAGTCCACGATGTAAGGGCGATGGCCTGTTTTGAGATGAAATTTCACCCGCTAACACAAAATCAGTTCTTGTATATGCTGTCGCAACGAATTCAACAAGCCGAGTGATCTGCACAGCTTGCCCTGCGGCCACACCTACTGCGCCGACTGCCTCAGCATAATGATCCAGCAGGCGACGACAGATGAGTCCAAGATGCCACCGCGATGCTGCACCCAACCCATTCCGGGATCCATCATCCAAAAGATACTCACCCGAGAGGAGCAGCATGCGTTTTTGAAGGCGGTGCTACAATTCAGCACTCCCTGGGAAGCTAGAGTCTTCTGCCCAAACACAGCATGCGGCGAGTTCATTCCTCCCCGAAACCGAATCGATCCCAAACACCCCTTCGATGTCGTCTGCCGAAAGTGCCGGACCAGAGTTTGCATAATGTGCAAACGAAACGCACACGCCATCGGAAAGGACTGTCCGTCGGACTGGGAACTGGAAGCCGTGTTGAAGATGGGTGAAAAGTCTGGCTGGAGAAGGTGTTACAAGTGCCGGTCGTTGGTCGAACTGAGCCAGGGTTGTACTCACATGACGTGCAGATGCAAGGCTCAATTTTGCTACATTTGCGGCGCCATCTGGGACCCGTCGGTAGGCTGTCCCAACTTCTGCAACGGGGATGAAGAGCTAGAGCGGCGAAGGATGGAGGAAGAAGCTAGAGAAGCCGAGCTGGAGGCAGAGAAGGCAGCCCAAGAAGCTGCCGCGGCTGCCGAAGCGGCAGAGAAAGTCGAGGCGGAAAAGCGCACACGAGGCAGCCCACAATTCGCCAAATTGGATGAATTGATGGCGGAAGAGTTGGAACGATTCCGTGTTTACATGCGGAAAACGAAGTGGCTCATGTGGACTCGACAAGCGGAGAAGAAGCAAGCAACCGTTGACAGGTACTCGGATCTGATCGAGAAGATGAAGGAACGCCATGCCAAAACAGCAGCTCATCTTGAGGAACGGCAAATCGAGGCCGAGATGGACCTGAGATCAACGCTGGACCAAAGCGAGAAGAGCGTCAAGATCCGTTTGAAGCATATGGAGGCATACTGCGATGGACTCGGCCGAACCCAAAACTCGGACTTGCCGCCGAGAGTTGTCACTGAGAGAGACTTGCGCTTGCTGGGACAACAGTACAACGTACGAGACGGCATGGAGCGACTGCATCAAGCGAAGATTAATGTCCTACGAGATCGGCAGGCTAAGCGGATGGAAGAGCTTCTGGAACGCCAGGAGCAGGAACTTGAGAAGCTGACGGATAAGAAAGAGCAGGAGATAGAGAATCTGGCAACGGATTTTGCGCAAGAAGAAGATACCCTGGTCAGAACATTTAATGACCGCAAGCAGAGATTGCAACGGCGTTGGCTACTAGCGATTGAGATTCTCCGAAAAGAGCTCGAGGAGCAGACCAAAGACCAATACGCGTCTCTGAATTTGCCAGTTTGGCCCGACGACACGGAGACGCAGGACGAGATTCTGGCATCGCTCCCTGACTCCCCGGCGAGTGAGGATTAACTTTGCCCACAACGATGCGGATTGACGCTTGCTTTGGAATTCTTACGGCATTACTTGCACCGAACTTTCTTTGCGTTCATACTTTCCTTTTTTTGGGGGCACACAGATACCTTGGGATAAGGTGTTCACTGGAGTTTAGCGGTCTTGGACTATACCAGGCAAGGCATGGAAATACTCATTGGTTTTGATCTGCATTAGCAGCATTTGATACTGGGCTTTACTTGAATAGCCAAGCTGGAAAGCGATGGGACTTTCCATGGCGCCCTATTTACGATCACGGACGGATGGGAGAATCTCATGACACAGGACGGGCGGATGATATAGTGCCGGTTAGCGAACGAGACAAGACCAGAGACGAATGGACGATATTATTTCATATGTTGTTGTTTCCGGGAATCGATTGATGCAAATCACCTCGCGAACCTGAGTAATACGAAGCCGGCACCCGAGTCAAACCCGACGGTAGTAGGCGCACCAGCCACCTGCCTAACTGTTGAGTTGACTTTTGGAATTCGAAGATTTCGCCCGAGGCTCGTCCCAAAAACGGCAGCTTGTGAAAGCGGGCCGAGTGAGGCGGCGCCGCGACTGCGGATGAGAAGTGTGGTCCACGCGCTCTAAGCGACGTGTGTGATGGATCGTCGAAGCACGTTTGGAAGATCAGTGACGGGTGAGCAGGAGACTTGGCGTCGCATCGCCGCAAACTACTGACTCTTCGGCCGGCGTGGAATCGAGAATTTTGACGTTTGTGCCAAGGCGAATGCACGCCGGCGGTCACTTCATGGGGCTTTGTTCCATAACCTCAGTCGAAGAATATGGGGTAAGTGGAAAGGGTTAAAAGCTGATCGGTTTGTTGAAATTAACTCTAGATGGTTGAATTCTCCGAGCCCTGGGCTACGATTGGTCTGCAGTAGGTTGCCGCCCCTCCCGGGGTGGACTCCTTGAGGCTCAAGGCGAGAGGACAAGGGTTGACCTTGCATAGACTATCTTGTTGGTGTTTCAGCTCGCACCAATTCGAGGTCTTCGCACCCCTCCATCGCAACAACTCAAAACCCTTTGCCGTATCTGAGGGTTTTACAAGAGTGGGATTGTGGCGGTACGGGTGCCGGCCAAGTGGTCGACGTCGCCGTCATTCTGTTGCCGTCCCATCTCGCCATTGTTGCTCGCAAGGCCGGGCCTTTCGCAGTGTTGAGCCGATCAACAGAGCCTTTCTCTGCCCGGAGGCGAAAAGATGGGTAGCTTTATGCCCCTTTTGGGTAGCATTCATCCTCGAAACTGGAGCGAATTGTGTCATACGTGCCTCCCGTTGGCCGATGCGACGAGTTGACTTTCTCTTTCGGGCACCTACGCTCATGTAAACTCCAAGATTTGCTAATATTTCTCACAGAGACGCTCACAGAGACGCTCACAGGTAAATGGACTTGTTTGGTTTGCACGGCTTTGGCGGGGTGATCGACTCGGGCTCCATACTCTTGTTTGCTTGTTTCTGTGGGACAAGAGGAACAGAGTCGTATTCCCTCAGAGTTATCCGAGTGTTGCCAATCAAGAAACCAGGATAGCATATTACCCAAAAGGGGGTTCCTTCACCACGGATGTGATACCAGGATCAAGTCGATCCGATGCCTTGTCTGCCCACCCACACATCATCATCCCCCCTCAACTCACCGCATGAGTTGACCAAAGAGGCAATGCTGAGTCTATCCCCTCCTCAACCCCCATACAAGTGCTCCGTGCGCTCAAACAGTTGCGCAGTTGCACACATCGGGCATTCGTCTCAGATTAGGCTGCTCGTCTAACCGCGGCCAGCCTATGACAGAGCGCTCGCACCTCGCGCCTGCCAACTGTCTGTCACGCACGGCACCCAAGACCAAGCGGGCATTGCATCAATTATAATTCCAAACCCCCCTCGAAGGATATCACGTTTGGTGTACCTAGTTTCCTGTTCTGGGTAGACCGACAGAACATATCAACATTCCGCCGGGAGGAATACGAAAGCGACTGGTTTCGACGCGAATGATTTTATAAGCGAAAAGGAAATAGATTGTCTTTCACACTTGGTTACGGACTCCGTCTTACACACGACGACTTTCGAAAACCCCGTCTTTGACAGAGTGCCTTGGACAGGACCTTCAAGATGGCGGCAAAGAGCGGCTGGACCGAGTCAACGGAGAATCTTGCCGTGCGCAGGATTGAGTCCCCCGATGCCCAGGTGGTTGGAACGACGCAGTTGTTCGAGGGAGGAGTCATTCGATATGTTCCGATGCCCACGCCGGATCCGAAGGGTTAGTTTGCCATGTTGAGCGTGGAAGACCAGGATGACGGGGATTATGCGACACTGATGCTGACACGATTGGGTAACAGATCCTTTGAACTTGCCGAACTGGAGGAAATGGACATCCATCGGAGCGCTCTGCTTCTGTAGGTCACCAAGAGCTGCCATCAGCTGTCCAAATGCTAATTACCAACAGTTGGTTCCCTCGCCTTGGCTGCCGAGATCATCGTCGGCGCCTTGGTGCCCGTGTTCGTGCTTGAGTACTCCGGCATCGACCCCCACATTCTTTCACAGATCGATATTAGCGCCCTGAACAAGCCGGGTGAGATCGCCCTTGACCCCGTCAAGATTCTCGCGGGTCTCGGTGGCCCCCCGCTGTGGCAGGTTTCCCTGCTCGCCTCGGTGCCGCTGCTCGTCAACGGTCTCAGCTCCTACATCCTGGTGCCGCTGTCGATCGCCATCGGTCGCCGCCCCGTGCTGCTTCTTTCTGGCTTCCTCGCGTGGACTGGTGGTCTTTGGGCTGGTTTCTCTCAGGGCCTCCCTAGCCATCTTGCTGCGCGTTGCTTCCAGGGATTCGGCGCCGGTGCTGTTGAGGCTTTGATCCCTCTCATCATCCAGGACATGATGTTCATCCACCAGCGAAACAAGGCCATTGCCTCCGTCGGCGCCTCTCAGGGTCTCCTGATTGTCAGCTTGGGTATTATGTCTCCCATCATCGTCTCCCGCCTCACCTGGCGCTTCATTTACTGGATCACCTCCGGTGTTGGCGTGATTGCCTGGATCGGCCTGATCCTTCTCGTTCCCGAGACCCGCTGGATTCGCAGCAACGACGAACTTGGTAAGCAAACTTGACTGCTTGGTCATGAATAGCACTAACAGGAAGCAGCCGGAAAGGAGGTTTACCCTCTTCGCCCTGGCGAAACCCGCCCGCGCATCGACGAGTCCGCCTTCCGCCCGCGCTCCAACTGGGACGAGTTCGGCATCATGAACTACGGCTACGAGTGGAAGGCTGCTAAGCAGTCTATCTGGGACATGCTCAAGACCACTGTCTTCCCCAACATCATCTGGGTCATCATGATCAACTCCATCCTCGTGTCTCTCCAGGGTGCTGCTGGTCAGGTCGGTTCGTCGATTCTCATCGCTGCCGGATGGAAGTTCGAGACGCTCGGTTTCGCTGTCATTCCTATCGTCATTGCATCGCCATTCGTCTGGTTCTTTGGCGGTTATGTCGCAGATTGGATTTCCAACTTCCTTGCGAAGCGCAACGGAGGTCGTCGCGAGCCCGAGGGTCATCTTGTCAGCTTGGTGTTCCCCCTCTTGGCCTCCATCGTCGGACCTTTGCTGTTTGGTTACGCGGCCGAAAACATTAGAACGCTGCCTTCGATTGTCGTACTGGTTTCCATCTTCTTGATTGGTTTCGGTCTTTTGACTGCCAACACCATCTTTGCTGTCTACTTGGTTGAGAGTTATCCTCAATTCGCTGGGTGCGTGACTATGCTCGGGATGATTCGAGTTATTTCCCTGCCATTTATTGAAACTTTATGTGCTAACATCTATGTTGTACAGTCCCGTCTTGGTCAACGTCTCCTCCGCCCGCCTTATCATCGGTTTCATCATGTCCTTCAACGTCACCACCTGGATTGAAGATCTCGGATTCCTCAAGAACTTTGGCATCTACAGCGCTGCTCTTGCTGGCATTTCCATGCTGCTTCCCGTCATGTACAAGTACGGCAAGCCGATTCGCGCGTGGACCGCTGGCCGTCTCGAGCCCGCGATGCCTGCAAAGGTCATCGACGACGACGACCAGTACTGGAACAATGACAAGCCGCAGTGGCAGGACGAGAAGCTGGGTAGGGCTATCTGATCTTGTGTTACACCGGGACGCGTACAGGGGCAAAAAGTGCTGATGAGAATCTTTCTCCCCTTTCAGGTACTCCCATTGGTGTCGCCAGGCCGATGTAGAGAAAGGAAATTTCCCCATCAAACCACATAAACTTCAGAAAAGGGGGGAGGTTTCAAGAAACGACAGATTGGACAGTACAGATTGGCACAAGTTGGTCACGGGAAAAGAACTTACGGCGTTGTGCACGCATCTCATGGCTGTATGCGGAGAGAGAAAACAGGAGAGGAGAGAAGTTACTTCGAGCTGGGGGCGAAGGGTTTCAATTCAGCCGGAAGGGTGTACATTACGGGGTTTTTCGAGGAGGGATTCAGGTCCGGTCTGAAGTCTCTCTAATGATTTGACGGGGGAAACAGAGTGGGCGAACGAACGCGGCGGTTCGGCTGCTTGAAGCGGCTGGCTCTTCCGGTTTTTCGCTGCCTTCATGTCTTCGATGGTGGAGGGGGAAATTCAAGATCGTTTACGACGCCTATAGGCTTTGTGCTGTACGCGCGTTTGTGGCGATACCCTTACTTACCGGCCCATCTCTTCACGTTGGTCGTGTGCTCTAAGATATCTGCAGACACGGCTGTTGCGATGATTTGGGCTTAGACAACATGAACCAACTTTCTTTTACTTTTTTCCCACGTGAACATGGAGGTGACGTGAGAATCATCCTCGGAATACCGACGATGCGAACACCGAGATCTGAATTTATCAGCTCATCCAGTGTCTGGTCTAAGAAGGGTATCTCATGTTTGCGATATTTCAACGAACACTCCGAATACCGACCACGCGGCAAGGTTTGAAGCCACCTCCAACCACGAACCGCCCCTCCCAAAGACCCTATATCGAGAACGAAATGAATTATCCCTAGTAAACGCCAATTTAAAGCTCTGTCATGATCTCATATAAGGCGGTAGTTGCCATGTTATCTCGTACTTGCATCCATCTCCACCCAAAAAAAGATCCAGCCACAAACTCACCTCCATCTGCCGCGCCAATCCAGTATCCAAACAACGACTACGGCGGTAGAGTTGAGTTAGACATCGGGCGCCCTCCCCGCCCTTGAGAAGATGGTGGGGGGTGGGGGATCAGCGTCTCGCCCAACCCAAAGCAGCACATGTTCGTCCGCAGCCTCGGTAGCTCAAAGTCTAAGAATATAACCAACAAATGCCAAGGACTCCCCCGACCACTCCATGCGAATTCTTGCCGTGGACAGTGCAAGGCTGACCCATGTTCTCCCAAGGTCATCCGTGGAGGGCGCGGGGGAGGAGATTTAACAACAACACCGATTCCTACGAGACGCTCGGATGGGGGAGCAGTATGAATGCCGACGAGGCAAAGCAAAGCGACAACATGCCACAACGTCCCCTAAACTCCCCCGCTCTGTCCGAGTTCCTCTAAACAAGAAAAGGCTGTAAGCATAATCCTATCGAAAAGTTTCCGTGCCATGGAAAACGCATAAGATGGCTGCCGCGGTGTTGTCGCTGCACCGAGCCCCGAACTTCTGGTAAAGTTATGTGTGGCCCTTTGCACGATACAGTTTTCCGGGGACTTCACAGGGCGAGGCGATGGAAGTTGCCGCTTCGTCCGTCCTTTGGGTGTGCGTTCTCTACATTTTCAAGCTCTACTGCCACGTCGGCGGATTATTGCCTATTGTTCTTCCCACGGATCCTTTGAATGTTATGCATATGGCAAGGATGAGATGACAAACGGCCATAGCGGCAGTCAGGGCAACGACGAAGACACACAGAGAAACCGGCTGTGATGGTGAAGTTGCTTTTGTACCTGGATGACTCCTGCCCAGGTAGTCAGTCTCTCGATGATGGATCCTCTTCCCCACGGGGATGAATCTATGATTTGGAACATGACAACTTTAACCGTCCGGCTCGAACCGAGGTGACAGAATAGGGGGAGGGTAAGGAGTCGTCTCGGATGCACTAGGCTCTGCGGTTCCGCGTTACGCAGTATGAATATTGTGAGAGAGGTGATGGTGTTCTGTGTCAAGCGTATGTGTGTGTACGCTGAACCACTCAGACGACATTCTCCCGAGGCCTGGGCGATGATTGGGCGTGTGAAGCGTGGGTAGGCCGTTTCTGTTTACAAGGGATCCCTACTCCATGAAGAGACGATGTCCTGGCTCTGATGACCCAATCAGCCCCGTAAGGTCGGAAGGGTTTCCTCCTCTGTAAGGTCATACGATGGGCTAATTAACACGAAACTGCCCATGTAATACCGGAAACAGATGCAGCGAGTCGAGGCGGCACGGTCTTCACATCACAAGGATAGGAACTGTAGTTATGTTGATAATTTTTTGATAACGAAATACCCGATATGCAATAAACGCCGAAACCCATGATCCCATTAGACAACCCAGTTTATGTGAATGAGTGTGCCAAGCGCAATTCCCGTGCAGCAGTCTCGTCCGGAAGGTAAAATGAAAAGTCTCCAGCCAAAAGAAATAGCGGCCGTGCCCGGTTCAAAGTTGCACCTTGAAGGAAGTGCGTCCGGGGAAACAAAAACAAGTCAACCTCCCACAGCTACATTCTAGCAAGGTAGGTTCATCGACAGCAAGCTGTACTGTCTTACACACCAATTTTCGACCGAGCCAACGCATCTAGAAGATGCTGTTGACGATGTTGGAACCGATGGTCGCACCAGCACCAAAGATGGCCGCATTACCGAGCTTCTTGCCAAACTTCTTGCCCATCTCGCCGGCCTTGCCACCACCGCTGCCCTCGGTATTGGTCTGCTCGTTGGCAACAGCCGCTGGCGGCGCATCGGCGTTGTACGGGTTCTGCTGGGGCGGCGGGCCCTGCGGCGGCTGTCCGTAAACCGGCTGCTGAGGGGCGTATTGCGGCTGCTGAGGAGCCCACTGGGCCTGCGGGGGAGCGTAAGGCTGAGGGGCGAAAGCACCCTTGGCCGAGTCCTGCTCGACAAGCACGTAGGTCTTGGGAAAGATGCCCTCCTGCCCGGTGCGCAGGTTCTTGCCCATCCACCAGTCCTGGTTCATGTACTCGTGGATGGCGATGCGGTCGTCCCGCTCGAATGCGACATCGCGAGCATCGGCACCGGCGTAACGGTACAACGCGCGGGCGTGCGCAAGGATAGGCTTCTCCGGAGTGCGGGAGGGGAGCGAAGGGGGGCCGGTCTGGTTGTAAGAAGGCGGCGCCGGGGAGGCGGTCGGCTGGACATTGAGAGCGGCCATGGCGTTGGTCGGGGGAGCAGTTGGGTTGTTCTGGACGGGAGTAGAGGCGTTGGGAGCGGCACGGGAAGCAGCGCCGTGGAGAGGAGTCTCGGAGGGAAGGGTGGCGTGGATGTTGTCGTAGGTTTCTTCGGTAATTACACCCTTCTCGAGGAGGTTCTCAAGTTCCTGATAAAAGGTCAGTCGTCAAGGTTCTTATGTCGCCCGGAGCAAGCGGATGGCGGATGAATTTGCGTCAAACACGGTTCAGACAGCCCGAACCGGTTTTCTCAGGCCATTCCACTCTTTTCCACAAAATCGACGATCAAGTGTTGCGAGACGTACATTCTTGATGGTGCGCAGCGACCGGTTGGTCTCGATGATTGTCTGTCTGTCCATGTTGCCTGCTGGATAACCCCACTTGAGTAAGACCGGCTTTCAGGGTTGCGCAATGAGGTCGTGTATATCTGATGAGCTTGCGGTAGGAAAAAAACGAGCAGTGTGGTTTATCGTCGTCAGCGGCACGCGAGGTCCGATTACTAAAATCAGGAGGCAAAGTGTTGTTTCCAGAACAAACAAAGATGTCGGATTGCGGTTAAAGCCCGACAGGAGACGAGACGGACTAAAGTGGCGCTCTGGTGGAGGGCCAAGCTGATAGTGAGTGGCAGTGCGGATTAGGTAACACAGGTCTAGGACTCTGAGCAGGTGGTAGAGTCACATTGCCTGAGTGGCCTGCAGCATGCTGGATATCGGAAGTGTCTGGCCTGTGAAACTCAAAACAATCCGCGTACCGAGCTAGCCGTCCCCCCGTCCTAGGGGATCATCCACTGACAGAGCCCACTGTCCACTGGACGAACCCGCCCAGCCTGTCCAGCTCAGGGAACGGGGCTTGGCGATCGTTTCCCTTACGACTCGGCCAATCATGCCTTGATCAATCCCGGAGGGCGGTGTTGCAGAGACCCGCGGGTTCTCGACAATCAAAGTAGCACTTGTCCGAGTCGGGAGGGAGTTCTGCAGGTCTTTTGCATGTTTTCGTCAGCCACGAACTAAATTGTGCCGCCTTGACCGATAACATGCTCTTGGTCTCGTATTGTATATTTCCTTCGGAGGCAGCCAGACAAGTGCACTGGCGGCAGCCTTATTGCCCAGTGTCACCAAAACTCCGCTCTCAGTACAGGCTCCAGTGTAAGCGCTAAGCATCCAATCGTTAATATTTCATATCTAGATCCTGTAGAGAAATAACATCTATAGTATCCAATTTCTTTTTTCAATCGCAAACACCTAGACGAACTTGCTGTTCTTGTTGACATACAGGTCAACATACTCATCCACAGGAGTGGCCTCCAGCTTCTTGGGGTCCAAGCCAAGATCGACAAGCTGCTTGACCTTGGTAGCATCGAAGTGAGGCTCCAAGTGTCTCTTGTACTTCTTCAGGATCTCAGGCTTGGCCTCCTCTCTTCTCAGGCGGTGTCCGAGAGGCGCCTCGACGACAACCTCCTCGAGCACGGTTCCGTCGTTCAGCTCGACCGTCAACGCGTTGGAAATGGTGCGGAGAGCGGGGTCGTGGTAGTCCTTGGTGTACTGCGGGTCTTCGACGCACTTGATCTTCTGGCGCAGAGACTCGACCAGGGGGGATGTCGCGGCCTCGCTGCCGTCGACGTAGTCGGTAGCCTCGAGACGGCCAAAGACGAGCATGACAGAGGCCATGTACTGGATGCAGTGGTCACGGTCGGCGAAGTTGTCCATGGGCTTGAACTGCTTGTCGATAATGCGGATGCAGGCCTCGTGTGTGCGGCAG